TTTACATCCTCTCGTGTGAACTTAATATATTCATCCACAGAGTTGATGTGATCAGTGAAATGTTGGACTTCCTGGGCTTTAATTTTAACCCAGGTGTCGTTAACATATCTGAACCAATGGCTCGGTGGCACCCCTGAAAAGGACATCAAGGCTCTCTTTTCCACTTCCTCCATGTACAGGTTTGCAACAATAGGAGAAACTGGGGATCCCATGGCACACCCATGTTTCTGCCTATAACGTTTCATTAAGAAGAACCCGTCCAGAAGACCTACGCAAATATTTTTCTTTTTGACTTTTTGCCTGGATTACTGAGATGCATCAGGACAATACAAAGAGTTGGATGTTGTCGTGATATTTGTTAAATTTTATATATTGAGAAATATGTTAAATAAATATTATTAAAAAAAAACAACTCACACAAAGTACCGAAAATTGGTACCGTTAAGTACCGGTACCAATTCCCAGTTACCGGATATTGGTACTGAATCCATTCAAATGTGAAAGCTACCCATACCTAGTTCAGTTTAAGGGTTTTGTAAAAATTCTTGAGGAGTTCATCGGGGTTATCATCTTTGGTCATCTGCTCCACAACGTGACGGACTCCGCTCTCTAAGGCATGGTAGTAACGCTTCAACTCCTCCAGCTCCAATTGTTGTCGTTTCTCCAGCTGGTCTCGTTCCTCTTTAGCTTCTTTCAGCAGTGCCTCATATTCTGCCTTTACAGCTTCTATTTGCTCCTTTAGTGTCTGCTCATATAACTGCTTCAGCTCTTTCTCTCTCTGATCCAACATCTTCATTGTGTTTTGATACATGTCATTTGAGAAAAACTTCCCTTCGTTGTCGTTCACCATCTCCTGGATCTTCTCCAACAGATCCAGAACTTGTCGACGATTGTTCACTTGACGGTTGTTGAAAAGGTGGTATCTGTTTCCAGCCTTCTTTAGGATTTCTTGTAGCTCAGGTCGAACTGTTTGCAATTTCTGATCAAAATCAGAAGGAGCTTCATCTGCATGGGTGAAAAGGATGATGGTGTACTTCCAGGCCTCCTCTCCAAAGATCTCCTCCACCTTCATCACAGCATCTCTCTCTTCTTTTGAGAAAGGCCCAAATTTGATGACCAGCAGAATAGCGTGGGGCCCGGGGGCCGACATGTTGATGCATTTAGAGATTTCTCTCTTCACTTTATCATCAGACTGATAGGTGTCGAAGAGACCAGGAGTGTCGACAACAGAAACCATCTTGTTGAAAACCTCATCTCGCTGCTTGGAGCATTCAGCGGTCTCTGAAGTGGAAAAAGTTGAAAATTACAGTCAGGAGGTCTCAAATAAACAATATTGAGGATTATTTAGCAAATAACATGCAGCATATAAAACTATTCATGTTACTTCTGAAGTATCCGATGGGTGTATATACCAGTAAAAGAAGGATGTATGACAGTATGACCAATGACAATAACTAAAACCGTGAAGAGTTCTGTTTACCTGCAGATCAGTGACAAGTTATTACCACCTTCATGGTATTCAGTCAAGGGTTTAAGTAGAACCAAAAATATAATAAATGTCAAGTAAATCATAATCATTATTTGTTTGTATGTGCTGTCTGAACTGTTTCTAAAATATTTGGTGTCTGTATCAGAATCCTATAATTTGAGGACAAGTATTTTTCAAAAAGACAATTGGAGCAACCAACCATCAGTCTCTGGTTAATTTATGTGCTTAAGAAAATTGTTTTAAAAATGCCACCTTACACCCAGGCTTTTAATCACACTTATACACAATTATTACAATTTCATTTTACAAACAAATATGTACAGAGTTGAACAGTGACTGAAAGACTTCAGAAAGAGGCAGCCACCTAAAAAGATTATCAGTAGTCAGATCATCTCTATGCTGTAAGAGGTTTAAAGTGGAGTTGTAAAAATGTAAATCACTCTGATGTGTGTTTGAGTGTGTTACCTGAGAAGTGTTTGAATGTTGTCCTGAAAGCATTTCTTCCCAGTATAGTGTTTCCACTGGAGCTCTTTCCTGCTCCAGTCTTCCCAACAAGAACCAGACTCAGCTCTGAAACTGGAACATATAGACTGTCAGGGTCTAAGTTTAAATTTTTGTTAATTTAATGTTTTTTTTTTATTACTGCCTGTTGCTAAAATGACAGCAATGTTTTTGCTTGTGTCTGTCTGAGAACTCAGAGAAAATAATAAACGGAAATGAATTCAATTCAGTTCATTCATATCACTGTAAAAAATGAAATGTTGGATTTACTTAACCATGTTATGTCAACTGGTTCCACTTAAATGAGTTGAGTAAATTCAAAGCAATATACCAGTATACCAATATACCAAAGAACATGAGTAAGTTGCTTTGAATTTATTCAACTCAGTTAAGTGGAACCAGCTGACATAACATGGTTAAGTAAATCCAACGTTTCATTTTTAGAGTGTAGCGCGAAGTCACAACAAATGTCTCAGAGCATTGTAAACAAAAAACAATAAATCTAAAGAAGTTAGCAGATTGTGTTGAATCTTCACTTCATCACGGTCTCCTATCCTGAGCAAGATGTTGGTGACAGTGGGAAGGAAAACCTCCCTTTTACAGTTTTTATTGATTGGTCTCAGTCTTCATCATCACCATCTCAGCAGAGCAGAAGACACCTCTTGTAATGTGTTAACCCATTCTCAATGGATTGACGCAGTTTTCACACCCTTTTGCCAAACAGTTAACGCAGATGTCATTTAAGAATTCCAAACTCCCTTTTAGCTGCCAGTATGAAACACTGAAAGCACCTGTTTGACACTTCTTCACAGAATTTTTCAATTTGCAATCAGTTTGCAGGCCTGTTTTGTTCTTTGCAAGTATGGATCAAGAAGGTCTAAGGCAGATGAGAGGTACAGTGAGAGTAAGAGGTAGAGGGGTCAGAGGAAGAGGAGTCTGTGTGCGAGGTGGAAGTATAGCTGGAAGGGCTCAGGTTACAGCTGAAATTCGGGCAACTGTGATTGATCATGTCGTAAATCATGGCCTTTCACTTAGAGAGGCTGGACAAAGAGCCCAAACTGTTCTAAACAGAAACACTGTTGCATCCATTGTTAGAGTTTTTCAGCAGAACAGGCAATGTTGCTATACAGTATATTCAGAAATATCTGCAGTGATATACAGTACTTCATGTATTTTTTTTCCACATTCTCTGTATTCTTTATAGAATCGAAAGGCTACCAGTAGGTGGTGGTAGAGGGAGAATTTTTAATGCTGAGCAGGATGCAGCTGTTGTCGACAACGTAGCCGTAGCTACGTTCACACTGCAGGTCTTAATGCTCAGTTCCGATTTTTTGAAAAAATCCGATCTTTTTGTGTGAATGTTCACATTACATTTTAAATGTGGCCTGCATCAGACCCCTGTGTGAACGCTACACAGCACTGATGTGACACGCATGCGCAGTAAAAGACGTGACGTCTCATCAGCCGGCTTGTTTGTTTACAGAGCTAGCATGGATGCTACATTTTGCGCATCGAATCAGAAGTTGTTGTTTAATCAGAGCCGATTAAATAATTATCTGACCTGCTTCTTTAGTCAGTGTTTATATCTGAAGCTGCCTCTGACCAGGATGCTCCAGTGAAGCTTTTTTTTTTGAACGAAACTACGAGCTGGAAAAAAGTATCGACCAAGTATCGAACTTTAGGATCGATACTCTCCGCGACCCAGGCTGGACATCATTATTATCAAACTATCTACGTGGAAAATGAAAAGTAAAAAGATGAAACAAATGGACTTGTNAATGGTTAATTTTAGGTACTGTGGTCAGGGATAGGCTGTCTATGGCTAGTACAAGGTAAATTTAGGATCTGGGATGGTTAGTTCTTAGGAACTCTGTACACTTTCAAAAATGGTTAATATGAGGCATCAGGATTAATGGTTAATTTTAGGAACTAGGGTAAGAGATAGGATGTCTAGGGCTAACAGACATTCAATTTAGGGTCTGGAAGGGTTAGTTCTCATGCACTTCCTACTCTTCTCAAAAATATGAAATTGCGCTCTTCCTCCTCCGCCTTATCTTGTCAATAACTGACGCGCGGGGTTACCCAGCACAACAAAACAGGGTCGCAGTTGGTTGACCAAGCGTAAACACGTTGATGCGTCAGGAGTGAGAATGGGTTGGCCAAACGTTTACTGCATTACTGTTTATAATTTTGAGATCTGTACAACTTTCAACCAAAGGGTCACTGTGCTCTCTAATGACATTCAAGCAGAAATTGAAGGACAACCTTACAGCAACAACATTTAAATTCACTCACTGACCAAGAAAGTTATGCACTCAGAAGATGTTAAATTCAAAAGCAATTTGGTCTACATGCAACCCAGTGACAAGTATGTAAAGGATTCAGTTTGCAAGGGGTGACATGTCTTGAACAAGCACCAAAGGAGCTGCAGCATCAAGAAAAGTACAATACTGTTATCGGGTTGTTGCCAGAACATCCAGCTTTCAAAAAGAGTAGTATTTGTCACAAAAGATGCCTCGTGAATGTATTAGGCAGCATTGACAAAGTTTTTTAAGTGTCACAATGTGGGTTTACATTGTGTAATAAACACTACAAAACACCCTGACACGTCCCCATTTAGTACTGGATGATTTACAACACCCCAAGTTTTCCTGGAATGTGATTTGAAAAGTCTTTGCTTTATGTGCAGAGGAGGAAATAAATACAAGTGTTCTCAGCACAGAGACTGACTAAAAGAATGCAGTGGCACAGACAACCAATATAAGAGTCAGGTTTTTTNATTGCTTGCCCGGCCTATGACAGGCGGGCCCACATCTAACAGACTTCGTGATTGCTTTCTGTTTCATGTCTGCCCATCAATAAATGACTTTCTGATCATACCCGCAAGACTATTTGTCTTTTTAACACCTTTTCGCCGTGTTTCTGACCATTTTGCCACGACAACAATAATAAACAAACACCAAATAAAATACAAGCAATAAAAAAGCTATATGATGCCATTAAAAAAACACAACACGGAACAAGTAGTTAAACGTTGAACATTAAAATTAGGCAATATACAGTATATGCTAAACCAACACATTCTCACTCCTGACACATCAACATATTGTCACTTGGTCAAGGTACCGTCTGCGTCCCTGTTTTGATGCGCTGGGTAACCCCAGCACGTTAGCTATTGACACCTGCGGTTTTTCGGGTTAAGCCGACATGAGGGTATTTGAGTTGGGGTCTGTGGTTAATATAAGGCATCAGGATTAATGGTTAATTTTAGGTACTGTGGTCAGGGATAGGCTGTCTATGGCTAGTACAAGGTAAATTTAGGATCTGGGATGGTTAGTTCTTAGGAACTCTCTACACTTTCAAAAATGGTTAATATGAGGCATCAGGATTAATGGTTAATTTTAGGAACTAGGGTGAGGGATAGGATGTCTAGGGCTAATAGACATTCAATTTAGGGTCTGGAAGGGTTAGTTCTCATGCACTTCCTACTCTTCTCAAAAATATTAAATTGCGTTCTTCCTCCTCCGCCTTATCTTGTCAATAACTGACGCGTGGGGTTACCCAGCACAACAAAACAGGGACGCAGTTGGTTGACCAAGCGTAAATACGTTGATGCGTCAGGAGTGAGAATGGGTTGGCCAAACATGTTTACTGCATTACTGTTTACAATTTTGAGATCTGTACAACTTTCAACCAAAGGTTCACTGTGCTCTCTAATGAAATTCAAGCAGAAATTGAAGGACAACCAAACAGCAACAACATTTAAATTCACTCACTGACCAAGAAAGTGCACTCAGAAGATATTGTTAAATTCAAAAGCAATTTGGTCTACATGCAACCCAGTGACAAGTATGTAAAGGATTCAGTTTGCAAGGGGGGACATGACTTGAACAAGCACCAAAGGAGCTGCAGCATCAAGAAAAGTACAATACTGTTATCAGGTAGTTGCCAGAACATCCAGCTTTCAAAAGGAGTAGTATTTGTCACAAAAGATGCCTTGTGAATGTATTAGGCAACATTGACAAAGTTTTTTAAGTGTCCCAATGTGGGTTTGCATTGTGTAATAAACACTACAAAACACCCTGACACGTCCCCATTTAGTAGTGGATGATTTACAACACCCCAAATTTTCTGGAATGTGATTTGAAAAGTCTTTGATTAAGTGCAGAGGAGGAAATAAATACAAGTGTTCTCAGCACAGAGACTGACTAAAAGAATGCAGTGGCACAGACAACCAATATAAGAGTCAGGTTTTTTTTTAATTTCACACTGATTAATGTTCTCTGAGAGCATGCTTGAGTGTGGTAAGGGAACATCTCCATCTGTGACTTCTGAACTGCGAGAGGGAGTATCTACATGGAATGGATTGTTTTGCCATTTAACATTTCTGTCTTCTGAAAGAGCCTGTAATGTCATATTCTACAAACATTACTGCAATATGATATTAATGTAGGGATTAATCTGAATTATAGAGCTTCATCACCAGTGATTAAGAGTTTGAAATAGAACTTGAGATCTCTTATGTCACGGTCAGTTCAGTTTATGGATGGGTACCGAATTCAATACTTTTTAAAGTACAGACCGAATTCTGTCGGTACTACAGAGAACCTATTCACATAACTTCAAACAGTACCATGTTTCGGTACCTAAACGCATCAATGCGACTGTATTGGCATAAGAGTGGTGARTTTTCCATGCTTGTCCTGAACGCAGCATCGCGCAAACTTATTTGCCTTCCATGGACCTCCATCACACAATTTTTCTAGTGGGGAAATGACATCATTAGAAATACTTGGAGCTGGATTTTAATTTGTGCAATAAGACAAACAGTCTTGTTTTCAAGAGCTTTCACTTTAAAGAAAATAGTTAAAAAACTGATGTTACAATACAAAAAGTTGGATGTTGTCATGATAATTGTTAAATTTTATATATTGAGAAATGTGTTAGATAAAAAAAATGTAAGTTTATTATAAAAAAAAACCAACTCACACAAAGTACCAAAAATTGGTACCGTTAAGTACCGGTACCAATTCCCAGGTACTGGATATTGGTACTGAATCCATTCAAATGTGAAAGCTACCCATACCTAGTTCAGTTTAAGGGATTTGTAAAAATTCTTGAGGAGTTCATCGGAGTTATCATCTTTGGTCATCTGCTCCACAACGTGACGGACTCCGCTCTCTAAGGCATGGTAGTAACGCTTCAACTCCTCCAGCTCCAATTGTTGTCGTTTCTCCAGCTGGTCTCGTTCCTCTTTAGCTTCTTTCAGCAGTGCCTCATATTCTGCCTTTACAGCTTCTATTTGCTCCTTTAGTGTCTGCTCATATAACTGCTTCAGCTCTTTCTCTCTCTGATCCAACATCTTCATTGTGTTTTGATACATGTCATTTGAGTAAAACTTCCCTTCATTGTCGTCCACCATCTTCTGGACCTTCTCCAACAGATCCAGAACTTGTCGACGATTGTTCACTTGACGGTTGTTGAAAAGGTGGTATCTGTTTCCAGCCTTCTTTAGGATTTCTTGTAGCTCAGGTCGAACTKTTTGYAATTTCTGATCAAAATCAGAAGGAGCTTCATCTGCATGGGTGAAAAGGATGATGGTGTACTTCCAGGCCTCCTCTCCAAAGATCTCCTCCACCTTCATCACAGCATCTCTCTCTTCTTTTGAGAAAGGCCCAAATTTGATGACCAGCAGAATAGCGTGGGGCCCGGGGGCCGACATGTTGATGCATTTAGAGATTTCTCTCTTCACTTTATCATCAGACTGATAGGTGTCGAAGAGACCAGGAGTGTCGACAACAGAAACCATCTTGTTGAAAACCTCATCTCGCTGCTTGGAGCATTCAGCGGTCTCTGAAGTGGAAAAAGTTGAAAATTACAGTCAGGAGGTCTCAAATAAACAATATTGAGGATTATTTAGCAAATAACATGCAGCATATAAAACTATTCATGTTACTTCTGAAGTATCCGATGGGTGTATATACCAGTAAAAGAAGGATGTATGACAGTATGACCAATGACAATAACTAAAACCGTGAAGAGTTCTGTTTACCTGCAGATCAGTGACAAGTTATTACCACCTTCATGGTATTCAGTCAAGGGTTTAAGTAGAACCAAAAATATAATAAATGTCAAGTAAATCATAATCATTATTTGTTTGTATGTGCTGTCTGAACTGTTTCTAAAATATTTGGTGTCTGTATCAGAATCCTATAATTTGAGGACAAGTATTTTTCAAAAAGACAATTGGAGCAACCAACCATCAGTCTCTGGTTAATTTATGTGCTTAAGAAAATTGTTTTAAAAATGCCACCTTACACCCAGGCTTTTAATCACACTTATACACAATTATTACAATTTCATTTTACAAACAAATATGTACAGAGTTGAACAGTGACTGAAAGACTTCAGAAAGAAGCAGTCGCCTAAAAAGATTATCAGTAGTCAGATCATCTCTATGCTGTAAGAGGTTTAAAGTGGAGTTGTAAAAATGTAAATCACTCTGATGTGTGTTTGAGTGTGTTACCTGAGAAGTGTTTGAATGTTGTCCTGAAAGCATTTCTTCCCAGTATAGTGTTTCCACTGGAGCTCTTTCCTGCTCCAGTCTTCCCAACAAGAACCAGACTCAGCTCTGAAACTGGAACATATAGACTGTCAGGGTCTAAGTTTAAATTTTTGTTAATTTAATGTTTTTTTTTTATTACTGCCTGTTGCTAAAATGACAGCAATGTTTTTGCTTGTGTCTGTCTGAGAACTCAGAGAAAATAATAAACGGAAATGAATTCAATTCAGTTCATTCATATCACTGTAAAAAATGAAATGTTGGATTTACTTAACCATGTTATGTCAACTGGTTCCACTTAA